TGTCATGGCGAGCTGTGTGCCATGTACTCTGAGTGTGGACCAGTTAAGGACACACCACTCCACAGCCAAGACAGCGGTGCCCTCTTTCACAGAAGAGGAAACTGAGGACATGAAGGCAGTGAAACTTGACCGAGGTCACAATGTTGGGAAGTGGGAGAACTGAGATTTCATGCTAGTCTACAAAAAAGGGAATGTAGGGTACCAGGCAGTCCTCCTGCAGGTCAGAGAGGCAGTTGCCTCTGCAGCCTCTTGGCGTGAGGTGGATTTCTTGTGGCACTGTCAGAGTGGAAGCAGTGTTGGGAAGGGTTTTTAAGTCCAGGACAAATGCACACAGTGGTCTTATCTGTAGGGTGGAGTGCAGAGGGGGCATCCAGGTGGAGAGGGACATTCAAGCTGCTGTGTGTGGACAGGGGCCTCTCCTATTGGGAAAGGCCTACTGGAGACCCTGTAGAACAGATGTGACTTGGCAGCACTCCAATATGTGGCTCAACTGCTAGGCTGACTTTCCTCCAGATACCCACTCCCTCTGAACCCAGTTCCAGGAAATTTCAGGCAGTTTCCTGACCTCTGGCCTAGGTACACAATGAAAGCAAGCACTGTAATTAAAGCCAGCATCTCCAGTGACCTGGAGTCAACTACCGCACCCCACCTTCTGCCACTGGAGCAGGAGCAGAGAGAAACTCTGGCTGCTAAAAAGTAAGAGAAGAAACATGTGGTCTTCTGTCTTCTTTAGGCCCTGGATCTCCTGATATCCACTGTTGGCTTTAGACATGTGGCTCTGACCATCCTGGACATTTTTCCAGGCACAGTGGATGGGTCAGCAGGAAGTAAGGAGGCCAGTTCCTCCACAAGCCAGGAAGACTTCAGTTGGAAGGGACCTGGAAGTATATCTTACTCATATTCCTTTTGGGGTTTGAAGGTCTCCGTAGTATCTGCCACTACATGGCCCTGCAGCCTCTGAACTTTCCATGATGGGCTCCTTTAGGAGGTCAGTCAGGGTGGTGGGAGAAATTGTAGGAAACGCAAAGCTTCCTGGAAAGCCAAAAGTTTTGCAAAAGCCTTGGGAAACATTTTGCTGTTACCTCAAGCTAATAGCTAGGAGTAGAAACAAAGGAAGGCAGAGGAGTTTATCTAAATAGCTTGTTTACTCTTGTGGTCTAAGACTGATCTTTGGTCTTCCCCAGGCACATGACAGCTCTCTACTCAGAGGGTTGGCAATGTTAATTACCCTCTAATGGTGTTTACTTGAGACCTTTGTCATTTAATCCATACTAAATAAATGTGAAGGTCATAGGCTTATTGAGATCACTGCTGACTCTGACAGAGGACCCCAGGCTGGGCTGACAGGAAAGCCTGTGTCAGTGCATGTTTTTCATCCGTCGCTCCATCAGAGTGTACTTGTTGGAACCAGCAGTTGGTGCCCTGTGCAAGGAGCACGGCAATGGATTGCAGATCATGATGGAACCCTTGAAAACGAAGGTGAAAAGACTGCACAGTCGGTAAGTCAATAAGTTAGTAAGTCAATAAGTCACTAAGTAAGTCATTGGTGCCTGCTCCAGATTTCCAAGTATAAGGGAATCATTCAGGCAACAGTTATCAGCTCAACAGATAAAAGTAATCAAACAGCTGCTTAAAGCTAGCAGAGCCTCAGTTTGCATGCTCAATTAAAGGATCTAATGCAAACTGTTGTTTCCCAAAGCCCATGGTTCCCAGCAGAAGGTACACTAAGCATAGAGCTCTGGGACAAGTGGGAAGAACTTTTAAACAACATCATGCACAAGGGCCACATGTCCCAGTAACATCTCTAATGTTATGGACGTTAGTTAAGGCTGCTATGGCCCAGCTCTATGCAGAAGAACCCGGAAGGGAAAGGGAAGAGGAACTGTCACCAACCTTACCATCTCCCTCAGCCCAGAAATTACCAGGTAAAAATACCAAAGAGGAAACAGAGATTTTGCATGAGGCCCCTCTGCCAATAAACTGGAAAAAGGACAGGGGATATGCTACAGCTATGGGAGCCTGTCTTAGGCAAGTGGCATTAGAAGGGGAGCTATTGGCCTGCCTGGAAATGTGAGATCAACAAGGCAATCAGGAATATGCTTACAAAGAGATGAGGGAAAATGGAGCCAGCAGCCTATTTAGGAAAGGATTAACTGAAGCCATAGCAAACAACTTTTATATAACACCATGGGACTGGTCAGTGCTAGCTAAGACAACTTTAAACACCAGTCAATACCTCCTCTGGAGGGCATAATAATGGCTAATAATTGCTACCCTTTTTTCTCCCTTATCCCTGATGTGGCTCTCTCAAAATCCTGTCTGGGTAGAAGAGTAGCCTTTGAAAGGAGAGAAATTACAGACAACCCTTGAATTAGTTGAAGAGCAATTAAAAGCTGGCCATATAGAACCATCAAACAGCCCTTGGAATTCGCCCATTTTCGTCATTTCCAGAAAGTCTGGCAAATGGAGACTTATGTATAACTTGTGAGCTATTAATGCTGACTTACAACCTATGGGGCCTGTCCAGCAGGGGCTCCCCTGCCCCGTGGTGATTCTTCAAGGTTGGCCTATTATCATTATTGACTTAAAAGACTGCTTTTAGACCATTCTCTTTACAGAACAGGACAGAGAAAAATTTGTGTTTACAAACTACCAGCTATCAATAATGAAAGGTCGGCTTGCCAGTTTCACTGGAAAGTGCTTCCTCAAGGAATGCTTAACAGTCCCACCATGTGTCAGTATCAAGCTTGGCTCTCCAGTATGAAAGAATTTCCTAATTGCAAAATTATTCATTTTATAGATGATATTTTACTGGCAGCCCCAATGGAGGCCTCTGTCCAAAGGAACACACAGTTTAGAGGTTTAATCATAGCACCTGAAAAAGTAAAAGTGTCCTCTCCTTGGTAATATCTTGGATACATACTAACTAACCCAGTAAGACCTCAAAAGGTTAAATTAAATACTAGCACTTTAGATATCCTAAATGATTATCAAAAATTACTAGAGGATATTAACTGGCTTTGCCCCACCTTGGGCATAACAACTGATAACAACTGATAACAACAGGGCAAAATCTGTTTTCTATCTTAAAGGGCAGTGCTCCTGGATTCTCCCAGGTATTTAACCCCTGCAGCAAAAATGGAAATTGAGGAAATAGAGCTAGCTATCTCTCAAAGGCAGCTAGATCACATAGACCCAGGATATTCAATTCAGTTGTTTATCTTTCCCACTAACCATTCCCCAATAGGATTAATAGGACAAATGGCCCCAGCACTGCACTTTCTAGAGTGGGTTTTTGCTCACATACTGGGACTAAAACACTATCTCCCCATATTCAGCTACTTAGTAAAGTCATCTATATAGGGCAGATGATACAACAGTTGCTCAGTTATGACTGATATCATAAGAATTCCTTTGAGCAAAAAGCAATTTGAAGAAGTATTGCTCTCTCTTTAGATCTTCAAATAGCACCCTATGATTTATAAAGGCCATTTAGAACACCACCTTCCTGCTGACAAACTGCTTCAGTTCTTATCTCATACTCCTTTAATTATGCCTACAAAAGTAGTTTACTCCCCCATACCTAATGCTTTAATGTTGTTTACTGATGGTCCTGGTAAAAATGGAAAAGCGGCAGTCTGGCAGGAACCACATAATTTCCTCATTTGATCTGGATTGACTAGACCTCAGAGAACGGAGGTTGGAGCTCTGATACTGGCCATGGAGTCATTTTCTGTCAGCCCATCAATATTCTTAGTGACTCTGCTTACTCTGTTTATTTATTGCAGAACCTTGAGATAGCCCTAATTAAGTCTACTTTAGAGCCCACCCTGTGTGCCCTTTTTCTTTGACTTCAGCAATTGCTGGCTCAATGTACACATCCTATGAAAAAAGATCATAGTATAATTGTGAGTGGAACTATGATATGTCCCATGCCAGCTGTTAAGTGTACACTAAGATGTCCCAGGTGCCATAGAGTGTCTTGGGGTGGCATGGGCTCTACTTGGGGTCTGGGATATCCCATTTCCCTATTGGCCCAAATTACAGGGGATTGGGACATGGCTATGAAACTGTCACAGATGCCACAGTAGACACAGACATCAGTACGATCGCCCTGCAAATGGCTGTGGGGGCTTCAGTCTAAGATATTATAATTCCCTAACTGGAGGCTACAGGCCTATTCCCTATGACGGACCTCCAGACTAAAGTGGAATGCATTACTTTCCTGACTTGGTTCTTTAGCTCAGGAAGAAATGTTTGGGAAAGTGGCATTGATTGCATTTCCCAAATTTGAGGCTACCTGCAACTAGGACTGTTAAGGCATTTCCTTTGCCATGATGTAGCCATAATTATGTTTAGGCAGGTACACAGTAAGCGTTAAAACTTATGTAACTTACACCCAGTGGGAGGATAGTGGAGTGATATGTAGTGTTACCTGGTACCTTAGTCCAGTGTCTGCCATCAATGAGGGACTCCACTGGAGGTAAATCTATCCCTCACAGCCAATCAGTTATGTTATTAGGGACTGGGAAGGGGGTCTCCGCCCAGGTGACAGGCCAAAAGAAAGGCAGATCTAAGAGATGGGCCCAATAGAGTGTAGCAGGTACAGGTTGGAGACAAAGCAAGTTCATAAAAAAGATCAATAGCCTACTCGAGTTGCAAGGTACAACAGAGAGCTACTGTGCTTTTGAGTGTGTGTGCACGTGCAGGTGTCTGTATGTATAGTTGGTGTGCATGAGCATGTGTATGCATTTGTTTCTGTTTTCCTTTTGGAAACAAGAATTGCAACATGACCAACCAGGTGAACCTAGTTATGGTAGTTCAGCAAGGAGATTTGCCAGAATGGGTGGCAATTGAAAGAGGAATTGTGCTGTATTAAAGTAGACAGCTGCCTAGCACTGTGCTGCAAGCTTCTAAATTTCTTGTAGTCCTATGAAGAGTTGTTTATTAATCTAGAGTTGAAGGCCAGGCCCAGGCTATCCCTGTTCAGATGGTTGATTGGACCCTACATTGTTGAGCCCAGCCTCCTCTCTAACTGAGGCATCTGCCAGATCCCCAAGCTAGAGGGCCAGCATCTTTGTCATTGAGTCCCTGCTCTGCAGAAACACCAGGAAGTCATTTCTGGTAAATAAATCTGGGTTCCTGGATCAAGGGTTTGGGGAACTGACATGACCTTGGGGGCATGGAAGATGCTTTCTAGGGATGGGAGAGTGGGATGGAAAGCAGAAATCAGGTTGAGGAGGTCTCTTTTCTGCTTGTGCTGGAGCACCTGTGACTTTCTTCCATCCCTTGTTCATCTGCAATGAAGACTGTCTTTGTTTTCAAAGGGAGCCTCTGAGGCTTAGACATATGGGGCTGGGCTGCTGAGGTTTCTTAGGAGGCAACAGCTGGAAGAAAGCTCTGAAGAACAAATGAAAGGTTAAGATTGAGAAATAGGATGGGGATTCAAGGCAAGTTGTCTAATTGCCAGTGGTTTTGACTCACAGAAAACAGGGAATTCCTGCCGGAAAGTAGAGAGGGATCTAGCCCTCTGCCAAGAACAACATGGTGAGAAATTTCCAGAGAAAATGCTTATACAGGCAAGCCTGTCTAAAACACTGAGGGGAAGCAAACGCAAGTTAATTCTGGGCTGTGTTGGTGACTAAGGTTGAGGTTGATCTGAGGTTGAGACCTTCCTCTTTGGATCACCAGCCTGCAGCTTAAGGCCTGTCGCTGAGTAAATGTTAACAGGCCCTGGAGGGAATCAGCTGCCCAGATGCAAAGACGGGATTCAGGTGGCAGACGGACCCAAAGGGGATGGGGGGGGATGGGGGGGCGGGGGGGAGGAAACTCCTACAGACACCTGGGTTTCCACTCATTCTCTTTCCCTGAGCTATCAGGCATGAGTGAGCTGGCAATGCACAGTCTCATTCATTCTCACTGCCACGAAAAGCATATTTATAGCCTTCCAGCAGCAACACCAGGGGCCTAGGCACAGATGAACCCCTCCTTGGGATCCCCACTGCTTGTCATAGCACCGATGTTTGTTAAAGTACTAGTACGCAATGTCACAAGGAATGTTTACTTTTCCTAATTCCCATCTAGAGGCCAGGAATGGGTCATCTATTTCTGTGGAGCCTGCACCCAGGTTGTAGGACAGAGGGCATGTTTGCTAAATATGTGTTGATTAACTGAGATAATCTTCTCTGACTTTTGTCACACCAAGGTGAGGACCATGTCCCTGTTTCCATCACTCCCTCTCCTTCTCCTGAGTGTGTTAGCAGCATCTTACTCAGAAACTGTGACCTCTGAGGATGCCCCAAAGACCTGTCCCGCGGTGATTGCCTGCAGCTCTCCAGGCATCAACGGCTTCCCAGGAAAAGATGGGCGTGATGGCACCAAGGGAGAAAAGGGGGAGCCAGGTACAGGTTGGGCTGTTCTGTCTCTGCAATTCTTTACCTTCCAGAGAAAACTGCCTGGAGATATGAGGAGAGTGATGTCGTATTTGAGTATCTTTTTCTCAACTATACTATAATTCAAACCAGATTCAGCTCCCATTCTCTGGCATCTCAGACTTCCACACAGCAGTTTGTGACAAATAGTTGTCTTGTCTTCCCAGGAAAGTGGCCCACAGGTCAGACCATCCCATGGGACACAAGATGAATTTTTCTTCTCTGGGTCATTGTCATGTCAGACCCCTACTAACTTCAGTAGGGATGGGACCAGGTTCAAGAGGCCAAAGAGACCTGGAGCCAGCAAACACACACAGGTTTTATTGGAGGAACCTATTTACAAGGAGATCCAGTGGCAGTTGGCTGGACAGGAGACTCACAGTTACTTGTAAAAATACGTGCAGTTAATTTTCACTTAGCTCCCTCCCCGCAGCAACCTCCACGTGGGAACTCTATTTCTTAAGTTATTTCTCTATTTCTTGTTCTCGGGTGCGTAACATACAGCTCTTGAGAGCAGTGGCTCAGAAAGGTCAGTCCTGGGTCAAGGTCTCCTTTCTCCTGGGAAGGGATTGAGCATCAAACTCTTGGAGAAAGAGAGCAAGAACACAGATATTAAGTCACATTTCTTTTGACTTCCAACAGGCCAAGGACTCAGAGGCTTGCAGGGCCCTCCTGGAAAGTTGGGGCCTCCAGGAAATCCAGGGCCTTCTGGGTCACCAGGGGCCAAGGGCCAAAAAGGAGACCTTGGAGCCTGTCCAGGTAAGGACCCCAGCAAGGTCTGAGCAGAGTGCACCCAGGTTCTGAGACCTTGAGTACCTGGTGAGAGGTGCCCCTTCTCCTGTTCCTTCACAGGAAGATAGCCAAATTTGCTTTCTGACCCAGTGCCCTCAGCCCTCTCTTTGTTTGTAGAGCCTTGGGGAATTCCTGTAAGTACCTGAGTACAGACTCACAAACTTTTCAAGACAACTCCCTCATCAGGCACTCCCTGTAGGAGCTGAGCTTTGGTTCTCTGTCACCTGAAACAGTCCAATGTGAGGCCCTGGTTCTAGAGGGAGAATATAGGCCATCTAAGTGTGGGCTTATTATGCCTATTTTTACAAAAGCGTGTAACGATGGGATGTCATCTTTTACTTCATAAGAAACCAAGCCAACACTTAATTTCTTAAAATCACAGCCATCAGTGTAAATCACAAGACTGTGGGTCAGCCATGTGATTTCTCTGCTGGTTTAAGCTGTAGCTCACTCGTGTGTCTGTGGTCGACTGATGGCCAATAGTCTCATTCCTCTGTCTGGCTGTTGTTTGAATGTTAGCTGGAATGATGAGGGTAACTGAACCACATCTCTCATCATCCAACAGGCTAGCCAGGGCTTGTTCACATAGCAGTGACTACAGGATTCCAAAGAGTAGAAATAACAAAGGCTGTAGGCTTCCTGAAGGCTCAGAGGACATTATCATTTCTGCCACATGGCATAGGTCAAAACAAGTCACAAGGCCAGCCCAGAGTCAATGAGAGGGGAAACAGACTCTATGTCTTAATGAGAAGAGCTGTATTCTATTGAGGCCATTTTTGCCATTTACTACAGCAAGTGGTTTTGCCCCTGCCCTCCCCACTTGGATAATGGGCAACTCACAGAAATCTTGGTTTCCTGACTAACAGAACAAACTCAGGAAAAACAAAAAAAACAGAAGACAACAAAAGCAAAACCTCTCCAAAGACAAAACCCTGCGATCTTTTTAGTCACTGTTCACCAACATCATCATAGAGTAATGCCTCAAGAGATTTCTTTTTAGTTTTGATAGAACAATTTATTTGGAAAAAAAAATAATCTGTGAAGAACCTGGCCTACATATTGCTAGATAATCAGAGAGTATATGTGTGCATGTGATATGTATGTGTACTTTGGGATACAGTAAACAGGCAAAGAGTGACGTTTAGAGTTGGATGGAAATAGAGATTTTTCTTTCTTTTTGCCTTTCATATTTTTATCTTCCTTCAAAGTATAAACACCAATGTAAAATAAATGTGGTTTTTTTTTCAGTTTGAAAAAGATACTCCACTTCCTTATATATGCACAGTTCTGAGGCTCCTTTTCAACAATCCTTCTTTACTTTGTTCTAATTTTCTAGATTGTGATAGTAGCCTGGCTAACTCAGAAAGAAAAGCTCTGCAAAGAGAAATGAATCTTATCAAAAAGTGTAAGTTTTTTCTGTTACTCCACAGACAGCTTGAAGTTTGGGAAAAATAGAATGCAACTAATACTTATTCAATGCATATAATCTTCTGTACCCTGATAGGCATTTCTCATATTCTGACCTCATAAAATTCTCACAATATTTTGGTAGAAATTGAGGCAAAGGGAAGTGCAATTACTTGCTCAAATGCACAAAGCTAATAAATGGTTTATAGATGGAAATCAGTCTGACTCCAGAGACCCTAATCCTCTGATATTGCTCACTGAAAATGGGACTTATACCCCATTGTTGCACTGATATTGAGATCTGGCCGTGAAGTCTAACCTGCCTGGGGCAAATATTTTCAGATATTTTTTGTTTGGTCTCGATTTAATAATTTAGAATTCAGAAGGCCAAATAATATAAGTCTTCTAGCATTCTAATCCAAAAGCACAGAGGCCTTTGCACCAGTCTCTCTGTTCACATTTGGGATGCCATATTTAACAAATAAAAAAACAAGTCAGCAGTTAAATTGTATTTCAGGTTAAAAAAATTTTTAGCGTAAGTATATCTGAAAATTACATGGGAGATATACTAAAATATTAATTGTTTGTCTGAAATTCAAATTTAACTGGACATACTGTATTTTATCTGGCAACTCCACTCTAGAAGACTTTTTCTTGAGAAACATCTTGAGTTGGGCTTAAGGATGAGCCAATTTCACCCACTTTTTTACATTTTAGGGGTAACCTTCTCTCTGGGCAAACGAGTTGGAAAGAAGCTCTTCCTGACCAATGGTGAAACAATGACCTTTGACAAAGTGAAGGCCCTGTGTGCCCAATTCCAGGCCTCTGTGGCCACCCCCATGAATCAGGCAGAGAACACAGCCATCCAGAATCTGGTCAAGGAAGAAGCCTTCCTGGGCATCACTGATGAGGAGACAGAAGGGCAGTTCGTGGATCTGACAGGAAGAAGAGTGACCTACACAAACTGGAACGAGGGTGAGCCCAACAATGTCAATTCCAAGGAAGACTGTGTAATGCTCCTGAGAAGTGGCCGGTGGAATGATATCCCCTGTTCCTCCTCCCTTCTGGCTGTCTGCGAGTTCCCTGTCTGAAGGGTCCCATGACTCGAGCCCCCCTTGTCTTTTTACTGTAACCTACAGGCCCACAGTCTGTTTGGAAAGATAAATTTTGTCAATTTCCCCATATCCAATGTTGTTGTTCCTTTGTGGGCAATCACTAAAAATGATCACTAATAGCACCACCACCAATAAAGCAATAATAGAAGTAGTAAGAGTAGCAGTAGTAGTAGTCATACTAATTATATTTTTAATATATACTATGAGACAGACACTATCTTTTGTATACTACATTAATTATCTAGTTTAATTAAGCTATAGTATTTTTTATAGTGTTCTCTTGCTGCAATATAAAAATAAGATGGATTTATTTTTCCATTTACAACAAACCCCTGTGCTCTGTTGAGCCTTCCTTTTTCTTTGGGTTGAAGGCTCCCTAATGACATGACCACTGTTTAATACCAGAGCTTTTTAGCAAGTCTCAGGTATTAAAAAACTCTATTTTGTAACTTTCTCTATGAACTGTTTTCTTTTTAATGAGACATTAAACCATGTAAAGAACATAAATATCATAAATCTCAAGTAAACAGTTTAACAAATTCTCATACACTTACATACCTATATATCCACTTTCTAGATTAAGATAGGGGACATTTCTGACTCCCTAGAAGCCCCTTTAGAACTCCTCCTAGTACTAACTCCTAGGAAAATACTACGCTGACCTCCATGACTACACAGTCATTTTGTCTGTTGGTGTACATTGTAGAGTTGGGATCACACTGTGTGTCATGTTGTATGTCTTGTTTACTCAGAATTAAGTCTGTGAGATTCATTCATGTCATACATAGCAGAAGTTTCATCCTTTTCCTTGCCATGGAGGGTTTCCTTATAGTAACATTCCTCAGTTTATCCATTCTACTGTTAATAGACACTTAGGTGGTTTCCAATTTTTGGCCATTAAGAAAGAGAATCCACAAACATTCCTGTACTTGTCTTTTCCGTAGACATGTTGCACTAATTTCTCTTGGCTGCCTATCCAGAATTGGAACTTTAAGGGGATGAGGAAAGCGTGCATTTAGCTTTAGGAGATACTACCAGTTTCCCTAAGTGATTGTATAAATTTATTCTCCCAGCAATGTGTGGCAGTCCTAGATGCTCTGTGTGCTTATAAAAAGTCAATGTTTTCACTTCTCTTAATGTTTATTATTCCTGCAGATATAAAGTGTATTTCCCCATGGTTTTAATCTGTATCTCCCCAACATGTAATAAGATTGAACACATTTTTACATGCTTATTGGGTATTTGGATATCTTCTTTTGTGAAGTACCCATTCAAATCTTTTGTATTCTGTTTAAATTGGTTAGCCAATATTTTTCTTACTGATTTTTAAGTTATTTTTACATTCTGAATATGTCCTTTTCTATGTGTATCACAAATATTTTTCTAGTTTTTGACTTGCTCCTAATATTGAATGTTGATGAGCAAAATTTACTAATTTTGAGAAAATCTTTTTATTCATATTTTCTTTCAAAGTTAACACTTTTTGTGTCATGTTTAAGAAATTTTTGCCCATCCCAAAATCATGAAAATTTTTTTTATGATTTTGAAATCATGAAGATATGTTTCCATTTTTTTTCTAATAGTCTTATTATTAAACATTCTATCTATTCCTGGTAAAACAGATATCCACTTGATACAGCACTATTTTTAGGAAAGGCCATTTTCCCTCCATTGAATTAGGGTGGTCCATTTTCGTAAATTAAGTAACTGTGTATGTGTGTGTTTGTTTCTGGGCTATCTATTCTACTAGTCTATTTGTTGGTGCTTGTGTCAAACAGGACACTGTTTTAATTACTGTACATTTATAGTTCTAACCATAGTCCAGCTTTGTTCTTCTTCAAGTTAAGATTTCCATATAAACATTCAAAAACAGCTTCTCAATTTTCACAAAACCCTGATGAGCATTCCATTGGGACCGTGTTGACTCTATCAATCAACTTATGCAGAACTAACAACCTACTACTGAATCTCTAATCAATGTTCACCATGTATCTCCATTTAATTAGGACTTCTTTAACTAATATTGTTATGTTTTGACATTTTTAGTTTTTAAACTAAAATAAGTATCTTAAAATATCTTGTTTTGGTGGTTTTAGTAATTTTAATAATATATTTTTAATATTTTTTCTTGTACACAGAAATACAGTTAAGTCTTATATGTAGACTTATGATGTTTAGTAATCTCAATAAGATTATTTCTTAACTCTAGTAATTTGTAGATTCTTCTGGATTTTGTATGTGCATAGCCATGTAAGTTGAAAATATGGCAGTACTTATTTCTTCCCAATTGCTTTAGTTTTCTTTCTTACCTTATTGCACTGGCTAGCAATGCCAATACAATACTTAATAGAAATGTTGACAATGAACATCCTTCTCTGATTCAGTAAGCTAACTCTGTTTTATTTCAGTTAGTAGGCATTAGTATTTATCTTTTTAAAAGCATCAAATTCATATTTAACTTAACTCCCTTTTCTACCCAACTACTCCCCTACACTGTAGGGGCTTGTAAGGTTCTATTCTCCAGCACTCCATTCTTGCTTCCTTGAATGTGGTCTTCAGGGGCTGGATTGAGAGGAGAGATGGTAATTCTTAAAATGACTAGCTATGACAACTGCCTGTTCTTTCTCTGCTTTTACTACTACTGACGTAGCTCACTGTCAGCAGATCCCCTGAAGATGACTGGAGTCTCAAAATAAGTTGCTGAAGATGGGCTCAATCCCAGTTCCCCTTTGCAGAACCATTTCCTATGTACTATTCTTTGTCCTTTTTTTTTTTGAGATGGAGTCTCACTCTGTTCCCCAAGCTGTAGAGCAGTGGTGCAATCTCAGTTCACTGCAACATCCATCTCCCAGGTTCAAGAGATTCTCATGCCTCAGTCTCCCAAGTAGCTGGGATTACAGGCATGTGCCACCATGCCTGGCTAATTTTTGTATTTTTAGTAGAGACAAAGTTTCGCCATGTTGGCCAAGGTGTTCTGAAACTCCTGACCTCAAGTGATCCTCCTGCCTCAGCCTCCCAAAGTGCTGGGATTATAGGCGTGAGCCACCGTGCCCAGCCTCCTATGTCTTATTCTTGACAGCAGCTTTACAAGCTCCTCACGTCCAAAAATAATCTTACAATCAAGGCATTATTATTTGCCAACTTGAGAAAATCCAAATATCCCTGAAGGTGGTTTCTGGATATGTGTTAAATGATTTAAATTCTGTCAGCATAGACTCTCCTCAGTGGAAGATTTTAAAGAAAAATATATATATATATTTGGAGAAATTTGTCCTGGTAAGCTTGCTAAAAGAAAGTCATATCACTGCCTAAGTTAGAAGTCAAATCATTGGTAGAAACAGAACACACTACATATAAGTTTAGTCACTGTATTCTCAGGTCTGGTGCTGAAGGGTTGCTAAGAAAACTTCTGCTATTGTGCTAAATGTCCAGAGACCACCAGAGAAGGTGTAGACTCCTGAAAGACAATGTAATGAAGTGTTTTAGAGTACAAGTGCTCCAGTCAGGCCTATCTAAACTGGATTCACAGCTCTATCACTTAATTGCTACACGATCTGGAGCCGCTTAACCACTCTGTATTCCAGCCATTTATTTGCAGCTGGGAGAAAATGATGATTCCTATTTCATGAAAATTCTGGGGACAATGAACTAAGTTAGCACCTTTAAAGTGTGTAGTGAAGTACCAGGATACTATATTTGAGGCCTTGACACACACAGTTATGCTGCTAGATATATACTTTTTGATGAGATAATATGGTGATATTATAAATAATACAACTTGATTTTAAAAAATTAAATCAACCCTCCTTTGATGGAATAAACTCCATTTAGTCATATTTTATCTTGTGTATATATTATAGGAGTGGACTTACTAATCGTTTGTTTAGAACATTTTCACCTATATTCAGGAGAGATAGTGGCTTTTTTTTTCCCTCCTTAATGCAATCACTAGATTTTGGTGTCAGTGTTTTGCAAGCCTCATTAAAATGAGCTGTGATGTGCTCTCATGCTCCCTATTATCTAAAATAATTTGTGTAAAATTATAATTTAATGTTAGATAAATTCACCAGTGAAGCCATCTTGGAATGGTGTTTTCAGTTGGGAACTGATTTTAATTTCAGATTTAATTTCCTCATGACCTAAACATATTCATGTTTTCTGTCTTTTGTTCAGTTTCAGTGAGTTATATTTTTCAATGAATTTGTCAATTTCCTCTGAATATATATGTATTGGCAAAAATTTTTACAATATCTTAATCATATTTCTTTTCAATATAAGTAGGATCTATAGCAGTGTCTACGTATCTGTTATGAACATTTGTATTTTATCTCTTTTCTTTCTTTCTTTCTTTTTTTTTTTTTTTCTAATCATCCAGGCTGGAGAGCAGTGGTGCAGTTTTGGCTCACTGCAACCTCTGCCTCACAGGTTCAAGTGATTCTTCTGCCTCAGTCTCCCAAGTAGCTGGGATTACAGATGCTCACCACCATGCCTAGCTAATATTGCATTTTTAGTGGGGAAAGGGTTTTGCCATGTTGTCCAGACTGGTCTCAAACTCCTGACCTGAAATGATCCACGTACCTCGGCCTCCCAAAGTGCTGGGATTACAGATGTGAGCCACCACACCCAGCCTATCTCTTTTTTTCTTAATCAATTTTTACAAAGGATTTGTCAATTTTATTAATCTTTTCCAAAAACTTATTTTTGGTATTTTCCCTACTAACCTCTACAATTATGTTTATATCTATATCTGTTCTTATCTTTGTCATATTCTTTTTTTTTTTTGAGACGGAGTTTCGCTCTTGTTACCCAGGCTGGAGTGCAATGGCGCGATCTCGGCTCACCGCAACCTCCGCCTCCTGGGTTCAGGCAATTCTCCTGCCTCAGCCTCCTAAGTAGCTGGGATTACAGGCACGTGCCACCATGCCCAGCTAATTTTTTGTATTTTTAGTAGAGACGGGGTTTCACCATGTTGACCAGGATGGTCTCGATCTCTTGACCTCGTGATCCACCCGCCTCGGCCTCCCAAAGTGCTGGGATTACAGGCTTGAGCTACCGCGCCCGGCATCTTTGTCATATTCTTGTACCAATCTTCTATGGGTTTAATTTGTCATTCTTTTTCTAGATTCTTTTAATTTACATTTAGAGAACTGACTTTCTTTTTTCCTTCTTTGCTAATATAATCATTTAAAGTTATAAATTTTTATTTAAGAACTATTTCAGCTGCATACCACAGGTTTGGATATGTATCCTTTGTCACCAATTCAAAACATGTTTTTCATATTCAATTTAAAATATTTTATAATTTTCATTGTGACTTCTTTGATTCATGGTTTATTTCTAAGTGTGTGGTTTAATTCCTAAATATTTGAGTATTTTTAAATGTTA